CTGTGTGTGTGTGTGTGTGTGTATGGGTGCGTGCGTGCGTGTGTGTGTGCAGTTGGGTGTGTGTGTTTTCAATGAAGACGCACTCTCAACAGCACACAAACAACACCATACTCATCTCAACCCTTGCGCAACACCACCATACCCACCACCACCACCACCTCCTCCTCCTCCACCATGGTCAGGCTGCGTTTGTGATTATCCCGCAGTCGATTCTGCTGCAGGAGCCGGATGTGGACTTTGATCCGAGCGATCTCCTCACAGGGTCTGGGTACTTCCTCCAGACCACCCTCTACATCGGCAGCTACTCAAACACAAGCATTCCCTACGCTGTACGTTGTCGTGTACCGCTTTGCTTGCATGTGCATGTGTGCATGTGTGCATATGTGCGTATGTGTGTGTATGTGTCGACGTCAATGAGGATGACTTTATGTGTTTGTTATCCACTTCCACACAGCCACTCATCCACCGTTCATTGGCACCCTCGCCCCCCACTGCTGCCACTTCCACTGCCGCTGTCACGGTCAGGGCCTGGACTGGGACATGCCGACGGCATATTTGGGGACAGCGCTCGGGACGTTCTTGCTCGCCATGGTGGCCATTGTCATCACGTGAGTCGCACGATGGTGATGGGAAATGGGGCATTGCGGTGGGCATGGATAAAGCGGAACTAACGCGCACACAGAGACGACACACCCACAAACATTCATGCACACAGGCAAGGGCACACACACGCCACAAACACACACACATGCACATGCACACATTGAAGTTGTGGTGTGGTCCTCACGGCTGTGTCGCGTTGCTTGTGCTGCATGGCATGACAGGATGGTGCGTCGCCACTTCAACAGCATTGTCCGGCAGACAGACGGCAAGAACATCTACCCGTTTCCCGGTGAGTTGCGTGGTTGTGACGCATGCGTGCATGGTGCTCAATGGTTTCTCTGATGCTTCTACCGACTTCGCGCCTTGCCTGCTACCCCTCGCTCAAGTGCTCACCACCACTGCCACCGCCATAACCAGACGCTGTGTTCTGCAGTTGGGATTTCACCATTAAGAAAGAGGTTGGAAAGAAGCTCAAGCAAGACCAAATTGGCAACCAGTTTAAGTGAGTCTGCTTGCAACACCTGTTTGTGTCTGCGCACATGTTGTGCAGATTCGACGGGGTGTCGCAACTTCTCAACACGAGACAGAAAAGTGCACGAGCGTGCACATGCGCCCCAAACGATCACGGCCCTCAACTCACCACCTCCACCATAATGATCATCATCACCATCATCATCATCATCATCATCATCATCATCATCATCATCATCATCATCATCATCATCATCATCATCATCATCATCATCATCATCATCATCACCATCATCACCACCACCAGGGATCTCCTGCGTCGGGCCCAGGCGCGGAACGAGCTGTCGACCGGCGAACGCGTCAAGCTGTGGGCGTGGCGCGGCATGTGCAATTTCCTCATCATGGGGTTGCTTGCAGGCTTTCTCTTTGGCATTTACCGCCTCAGCATTGCGTACGCAGATTCTGAAGCGTTTTGGGAGCAGCTTTCAGCCCCTCTCACAGCAACACTGGGCTCCTCCCTCCTGCCAACCTTCGTCTACGTGAGTGGGTGTGGGTGAATGTCTATGTGCGTGGGAGCGTGTGTGTGTGTGCGTGTGTGTGTGTGTTTGTGAGTGCATGGGTGTGTGTATGCTCTCTCTCTCTCTTGTGCAATGACATTTGATTGCAGTCGTTCACGCTTAACTCAACCAACCAACCAACCAACCAACCAACCACCATCACCACACCACCATCGCCATCGCTGCTCAGGGGTTGACGGAGGCGCAAAACTTCTCCGACCGTGCCAATCTCATCAAAGTCCTTGTGTTCTGGTGCGAATGGAAATGCTGCTGCTGCTGCTGCTGCTGCTGCTGCTGCTGATGATGATGATGATGATGATGATGATGATGATGATGATGATGATGATGATGATGATGATGATGATGGATGGCGTTGGTGTTAATGGTGGAGGTGGATTGTTCCTTGTTGCAACTGATCTGACGTACTTCTTTTCACACGTCCACACACACACACACACACACACACACACACACACACACACACACACACACACACACACACACACACACACACACATACACACACCGATCGCGTTGTAGGTCGTTTATTGTGAAGCTTGGGCCAATCTACGTGCTGCTCAGTTCAAGTCTCAGTCTCTCGACAGACGACTCGATTGAGGTGCGGCACACTGTCACACACACACATGCACGCACACACACACACACACATATGCGAGCAAGCGTGCCTGCGCTGACGCTTTGGCTAGTCACACGCACGCGCTCACGTCATGACTGAATTGCGTGCGTGCATGCCATGGCCACGATCATCTTCACCAAACACAACCTTGATCACTGTCTTTGCGACCAATCGTCACCAACCATCACCACCATCACCACCATCATTGTCATCTTCATCACCGCCAGTGTTGGGAGTCGCAAGTCGGCGTTGATCTGTTCCAGCTGCTCGTCCTCAACCTCCTCGCCACGTGTTTTACGACCGTCTTGTGAGTACACGACTCATGTGCGCTGTTTGCTTGCAGGCATATGCCTGTCGTGTACACCTGCGATGGATGCATCGTACCGGCATCTTCTGCTCCCAACTTGGCTGACACTCCATCTCACATCCGCTCACACGTTTGTGCTCTGTGTGTATGTGTGTTCATGCATGTGTATGTGTATGTATGTGTTTGTGTATGTGTGTATTTGTGCACATGTGCGTTTTATTTGTGCCTGCTTCCCCTGACGTTCATGTGCTGTTTCCAGCGGTGATGTTGGCCGATGGGTTCTCTGCAACACCCTCGACTGCTTCAAGCCCCTCAGCAAAATCACGGGTACGCAGCCATATGCTGGCGGTGACGGTGGTGGTGATGGTGATGGTGGTCACTCTGACGATGCGTGGGCAGCGTTCGCGGTGGGAAGGATGGCACCTTTGATTGCAAGCACACGATTGTTCGGGTGCACTTGTGTACCTTTCCATCATGCAATTCTGCCTCTTTATTTATGCATTCACCTCGCATACACACATGCATGCACGCATACGCATATGGTGGCAGGCGAGCCCACATTCCAGATGGGAAAGAGCATCATGGACGTGATTTACGGACAGGCGCTCGTATGGTGCGTGCAAACACACACATGAAACTCGTTTGTGCAAGAATACACGAACAAACGCACGCGCGCTCTGTCGTTGCTTGACATCAAGTTTCCATCACTTGCACAGATGCACACGCCATATATACACACACGCATGCCGAGCATATAGACACCCACACCCCCCGTATACACACATGTATGTATGCCCTCACATCCCAATCCCCTCAATCACATCACACATCAGGATTGCGTCGTACTTTTCTCCGTTTTCGATTGTGTTCTCTGTGCTGATGGTGCTGGCCATTTTCTGGGTGAAGTACGCGTCACTGCGCGCGTTCCTTCAGCCGTTCACCAAGCACTACGTGATTCGGTCCGACGACAACTACTCCTTGTGGGTGCTGCTTGTCACCCTCTTTCTCTGCATGATCTTCATTGGGTATACCATCCTCTTCCTCGAGCCGTCAGACAACTGCGGCCCGTTCAGGTGCGTTTACTTGCGTGTGTGTGTGTGTGTGTGTGTGTGTGTGTGTGTGTGTGTGTGTGTGTGTGTGTGTGTGTGTGTGTGTGTGTGTGTGTGTGTGTGTGTGTGTGTGTGTGTGTGTGTGTGTGTGTGTGTGTGTGTGTGTGTGTGCGTTTACTTTTGTGTGTGTGTGTGTGTGTGTGTGTGTGTGTGTGTGTGTGTGTGTGTGTGTGTGTGTGCTCGTTCCACCGCGTGCTCGTTCCGGCACCACCACCGCCCGCTCGCGTGGACATATCAACCACCAACACTGCCCTCGCCGCCATGCACAGGGGCATGGACACGGCGTGGAATGTCATCCAGCGACGCACGACGCGGTGGTCGGAGACGTTACAGGACGCGACCAACTTCATCATCAGCCCCGCGTTTGTTGTTCCGCTCATCATCGTCCTCTGGTGCGCTCACATGGGTGGACGAGGCAGGCGAGGAGGAGGCAGCGTTGTGCTGCAACGTTGCACGCTTTGTGTGCTTGTGTGTGTGTGTGTGTGTGTGTGTGTGTGTGTGTGTGTGTGTGTGTGTGTGCTCGCACGGCCCTCGCCCTCTTTCTGCGTGTTGCAAATCCCCCAAATGCGTTCCGAGTGCGATTGCTCTGTCGTAATTCCTCTCAATTCCTCACCGCTCGCCATCACCACCATCGTCTCGTGTTTGTCATTGTCGTCAGCATCGCGCTGATGTACACGTGCATGCTGGATGCCACCGCGCAGCACGAAACGGACAAGATCAGGGCCAAGCTGGACGAGGTGAGGGATCCTGTGCTCTCGCGCGTGTGTATCTGCAATCGTTGCTTGCAAGCAACAACGCCCTCCTCTTTGCTGTGACATTTGAACCTCGACTGTCCTCTGCAAGCTGCGCCCTTTTCTTGCTCCTTTCCTGCATACACACACACACACACACACACACACACACACACAAACACAAACACAAATGTACACTCACGTACACACACACACACACATACTCACACACACTTACGTGCACACAGCAATTGCGGCTGAAGAAGCGGATGGTGAAGAAGTTCATTGCGCCGAAGAAGAAGAAAGCGCGAGGGAAAAAGAACAAGGCGCGCAGATCAAACAAGAAGTGACATGGCATGACACGCGTGTTGGTTCCATTCGCTCATCCAACACACACACATACACACACACACACACACACACACACACACACACACACACGCACACACACACACACACACACACACGCACACACGCACACACATTCGCTCTGCTTTGTCGTTTTGTTTGTAGCTTGTGCACAATTCACCTTTTCTGTATGACTAGAGACATGGTTTTGTTCATGTCATGATTATTAGACACCGCTGTTGCTTGTTCTTCAGACACGCGCGTTTGCTTTCGTTTTTGTTTTATTTGGGGTTTGGCCGTGGTTGAGTGATGTGACGTGACACACCAGCAGACAATCAACACGAAACTAGCAGATTGAACACAAGCATTCTGGCGCAAAGAGAGGGAGAGAAAGAGGAGCAGACACACACACACACACACACACACACACACACACACACACACACACACACACACACACACACACACACACACACGAACACAACACTCAAATCAACTAGCAAGTGCAAAAGACGATCACATCACAACGTCCCCCACCCCTCTTCTGTTTGCCTAAGCCATCGCACACGTGCTGGTGTCAGGCCGTGCCAGCAGTTCACACCTACACCTCTGCGTTGAGCACGCGCATGACGTCATCGAAGAATGGGATGCGGTTCTCGCGATCCCAGAGATGACCGAGACGCACCAGCACAAACTTCTTGGAAGGAATGATCATGAGCATCTGCCCTTTGTAACCCTCGGCAATGATTGCCTCATGCGGAATGCACTGCGTCGTCCACGCGCTCTCCTCAATGTGTTGCGCAATACACGCGGTGCGCGGGTCCTGCTGCAGTTGCGTCACGTTCTCGCGGCCGGCGGGTGGGTGCCACCATCCGCCAGAATAAATGTCATCGGTGACAGTCAGGCGCTTGAAGGTGAAGTCGCGAAGATATGACGCCGGCACCACTTGCTGCTCACCCCAGCGGCCGTGCTGGTATTGGAAGAAGCGTGGTGGAGGTGGAGGAGGAGAGGGTTGACGTGGCGTGGATTAGCGATGACAACCAATGTGGCAACCATGCCCGTGTGTGTGTGTGTATGTGTGTGTGTGTGTGCGTGTGTGTATAATATGTGTACGTGTGTGTGCATGCATGCATGCAACGTGTACGCGTTAGAAGGAGCGCAAGTGGAGTGATGTGATGGGATCATGAAACCAAGTTGCTCTAAGACATGCTCCATGTCCAAGGTTCTCCCTTTCCTTGAATGGCAAACTCACCTGCAAGTGGAGGACGCCGAAACGTGCCCAGTCGCGGGCGGTGGCAAACCCAAAGCTGCTGCCAACAAAGATGCCCTCGCTGTCCGTCTCCAGCACAAACGACTTTGCCCCAATGGGTGCAAACAGCTGATACAAGCAGTTGAGGGATGAGAAGTATGGGTGGTGAGGCACAAGGTACACAGGGACATAAGAACTGATGTGGTGGTGGGCTTGATTGTGTCGGTTGTCGGTTGTGCGTGTGTGTGTGTGTGTGTGTGTGTGTGTGTGTGTGTGTGTGTGTGTGTGTGTGTGTGTGTGTGTGTGTGTGCAGAAGCATGCGAGCAGATGCAACGGAATGAAGTCTGCAACCTTTCCCAACCCCCCCCCCCCGCACACATGCACACACTCAATCCAATAGAAAGCCCTCACCTTCTCGTATGGGAAGCGCCAGTAGTCCCACCAGGAGGGAAAAGATTGGCGGAGCATCCAACTGGCCAAGTTAGTGGCCCCGCTGTTGTAGCACCAACGCTCGCCAGGCAGATGGGCGGGCGCCTTGTTGCGCGCAAACCCGGCCGTGGACCGCTCCAGGAACAGCATGCGCGCGGGGTCGTTGATCATGCCGTAGTGCTCGTTGTAGTCGAGGCCGTCCACCATGTGCAGGAGGTGGCGCAGCTGGATGAGGTCGTTGTCGACGCTCTCGTCCATGTCCAGGTAGCAAGAAGTGCGGGTAGGTAGGAAAAAATAAGTTTTACACTGGCTCCCTAACGTATCTTACAGTGCTTCCGGGATCCACGCAAGCATACGGCGATGTCATGCGATGAGGACTGTGCGACTACCTACGATGACGTAATTCTCCACACTGATCACTATGTTCTCACTAGAGTGTATCCATATGCTCCTGGACCAGCCGAGCTGGGCGCTGTCTGCCGTGATGTTCAGCCAGGACGCGTACGACTCCGCCACCAGCTTGCCGCAGTGCACGGCTGCGAGGCCGCGGGTGTGCTCCTGCTGCTGCTCTCCACGCTTGATCTCCGCATCGAAGATGGCCTGCAACGCCGCAATCTCTTCCTCGCTCAGCCGCTCATCGTCACTGCACAGCGCCGTGTCACCAAAGTACCCAGTGCCATCATCATCATCGTTAGCATCATCGTTAACATCGCTGCTGCTGCTGCTGCGATGGTCGTCGGCCTGGCTCTCGCCGCTATTCCTGCTGCCTGTGCTGATCTCCTTGTCCTTATCTGCGGTGTGTGCTTGCGCTTGGCGAGGGCCGCCTGGCCTGAGCTGCGCCAGCAAAGACTGCAGCGCTCCCACCTCGGCTGCGTCTTGTTCGCTCTCCGCGGACACAGCGCGGTGGTACAGGTCCCTGGCAGCTTGCATGTGCGGCGAGAGCGGCTGCAGCACGCAGCCGTGCAGGCGGCTCACGTACACGGCGGAGGCGTTGGCAGCAAGGAACCGCGCCTCGTACGACTGCAGGTCTGCATCGTACCACACGCTGGCGTAGGGTGCGTACCCCTCTGCCTCGTAAGACGCCAGGCCAGCGTAGTCCACGTGCAGCACGTTCTCTGCAGTACACGCTGTCAGTGCCAGCACGGAGGAGATGATGGCCGTGGCATCCCGCAGCACCGTCTCGTACACCGCCCACGCCAACACCGCAGCAATCACCGCTCCAAGCACCGCCAGCCGCACGCCTTTGCTCGGCTCCATATTGGCGGCTGTGCTTGTGTGGGATTTGAGGTGTGTTTGCAAATTGCAGCAGTCGCAATTGGCAAAGTACCAATCAGTTGTGACTGTTGCGGTCCTTGCTCGTTCACCACAACAACCGCTGATGCTTACCCACCTCATTCGCCGTCATTGCCTCTCGCCTCGCCTGTTCTCCACCACCTTCACCGGTGAGCCGATGTGTGTGTGTGTGTGTGTGTGTGTGTGTGTGTGTGTGTGTGTGTGTGTGTGTGTGTGTGTGTGTGTGTGTGTGTGAGTGTATGTGTGTGTGTGTGTGTGTTCGTTTGTGTTGTGTGGATGTGTGTGTGTGTGTTTGTGTTTGTGTATTTTGTGTGTGTGTGTGTGTGTATTTGTTTGACGTTGCCTGGCTGCAATATCGTCATGGTCGTGTCATATCACAAGCAAACTCGCACGCCGACTCACAACATCAGTGCTGCTGCTGCTTCTGCACCTGGTGGTGGTGGTGTTCTCCTCGGCGCGCTCTTCCTCCTGTTCCCCGTCCCTCTCACACTCCGCAACTGACGCTGTCTCCACGCCTGCACCGCCCGTGGGAACACCGACGCCAACCACCACCACGACGACGCACCCGACGTTGACGTCGTTGTTCACTTCACTTTCCGACCGCGCCACCGCAGCAGCACGCGCCGTCAGCATGTTTGCCGCCTGTCGACAGCCTGCCATGGTCTCCAAGGACAAGGCGCTCCCTGGCCGGGATGAGGAGATGAAAATCTCCGACAAGCACTTTGTCCTCGGGAACCCCATGAAGCCACCGTTCCCAGACAACATGGAGCAAGTCGTTGTCGCCACAGGCTGCTTCTGGGGTGCGCCCTCTGCCTTGCCCCCTGACCCCTGCTACTTTTGGCGCTGCGTGTCCATGTACATGTCCATGGCGTTGTTTGGTTTTGCGTGTCGACGCCTGCCAACCGGCGCCAGCGACTCTTGTTCATTCTGCCAAACACACACACACACACACACACACACACACACACACACACGCACACACAAAATAGGCACGGAGCGGCTGTTCTACAAGCGCCTGCCTGGAGTGTACACAACCGCTGTTGGCTACATCAACGGTGAGTTGCCTGTCAACAACGATTAATGGAGGTACATGCGTCCCCTGTCCACACTCAGCGACAACACTCATCCTCCTGCTTCTTGTGTGTGTGTGTGTGTGTGTGTGTGTGTGTGTGTGTGTGTGTGTGTGTGTGTGTGTGTGTGTGTGTGTGTGTGTGTGTGTGTGTGCGTATTATCCGGAACTCGTTCAGGTTTCACCAAGAACCCGACATACAAGGAAGTGTGCACCGGAAGGACAGGCCACACGGAGGCTGTGCTTGTCGTGTTTGATCCAGCCAAGGTACTCTAACCTTCATCATGTTGCCCTTGCTCGTGAGCCAAGTACGCAGGCACGTATGTGTCATCACGATAGCCTCCGCAGTGCCCCCGCTTTTGCTCCCGTTCACACACACACACACACACACACACACACACACACACACACACACACACTCACACACATGCACACATGCACACATGCACCACGTGCCAGGCGTCGTTTGCCGACCTGCTGAAGATCTTCTGGGAGTCGCACAACCCCACGCACGGGTTCCGCCAGGGCCCAGATGTGGGCACACAGTACCGCAGCGGCATCTACTGCACAACCGACAAGCAGATGCGCCTTGCCGAGGCATCGAAGAAGGCGTATCAGGCCAAGCTCGACGGCAAGGCCATCACCACGGAGATTGTGGCCTGTCCAACCTTCTACTACGCCGAGGACTATCACCAGCAGTACCTCGACAAGCCAGGCAACCGCCAATACTGCGGAGCCGCACCAACAGGTGCCGTATGCGCTGGTCGTGTGGTGTGTGCGCTGGTCATGTGGTGTGTGTGTGTGTGTGTGTGTGTCTGTGTGTTTACCTTTTGGTGCCTCGTTAGCCTGTTCTATGCAGTGCAATGCCCTGCTCATTCCACCTCCCTCTTGGCACCATCAGGCGAAGCGCTGCCGCCGCCGTTGGAATGGGATCTGAGCGACGAGGACAAGGCCAGCACCTCCACCAACCCAGACGTTTGGAGCAAGGTCTGGGCAGGCTGTGTCTTTGGCGAGTGAGCACTGGAACTTGGTTGGTGGTGGTGTTCGTATCGATTGCGGTTTTGTTGGAGACGGGTGACATCAATTGCGGTTTTGTTGACGATGTGTTGCTTGCTGCTTTGTCAGTGGCGTGTCGATTGTCATTTTGTCGTTCAATGTGTGTGTGTGTGTTTGTACGAGGAAGATGTGAGTGTTGATTCAATTGAGTTTGCACACAACAGAGGCATGAACAAACGAACCAAGCACACACAGAGCAACAGCAACACGAACAGCAAGAACACAAAGCAACAGCGAAAGAACCAACAACAGAAGCAGGGTTGAACTGTTAAACAGACAACACAAACAACACGAGGAGAACCACGGCGCGGGGTGGCATGCATGATGCAAGCACGTGAGCGCTGCTGCGGTGGGCGAATCAAAGTCTTGTATGGCTTTATGGCGGATGGGCAGACTATTCGTTGCGTGGGATGGGTTGTTGGGTGTATCAGATAGTTTGGTCGGTTGCGGGGATTGGTTGATGCAGCGCAACAGCTGGTGCTCATGGCTTGTGGCGCTTTTGCGGGTTGCCATCACCCCCAGACGCGTGAGGAGCAGCAGCTTGAGGGCCTGTCGAGGCGGAGGTGGTGATGGTGATGGTGGCGTGAGTGGCGTGAGTGGCGTGGTGTTTGGTCGACATGTGCACGCGGCACAAAGGCGAAGGAGCAGAAACCAACACCCCACTACCAGCAGCAGGCACAAATACCCAAACAATTAACAAGCAAGTTAATTCCACCACATACGTTGCGTGCGAGGATCCGTTGGCAGACCTGTTCACACACACACACATGTGATGGCAGCATGAGCATTCGAAAATGGAAGCAACTGTGATCATACATGCACAAAACACGACGACCTCTGCCTCCTGCAATCACAACCCCCCCCCCCCGCCCAAACGCATCTTCCGACCGCGTGACGCAACACATCTGCAGCATGATGCAAGAGGGGGCGTCACCTCCAATGTTGCGGAGTTCTGTCATGAGTGCCTGCCCGTGGGCCTGGAGGCTCTCAATTTCCCGCTGAAGCGTTGCCTCATCCTTGTCGAAATCAGCCAACTCCGCTTGCACGCTGCGATTTGCAGAACCACAAAGGGTTGGCAGGTGGAATGGTAAGTGGGCTGAATGAGTGGGTGTGCTGCGACAAGGGCTACACACTGTTGACAAGGGAGGTACGATCACACAAGGAGAACGCCCACACGCAACAAGGCACAGGGTTGACGGTTTCAACGTTGCAGTTCAACTGCACAACTCCGGCACGTGCAATACGCGACACGCCATCAGAACTCACGTGAAGAAGTTGTCACAGTACGGCTGGGCGGCGCGGAGGGCGCGCAGCTCGTTCGACTCCTCTGCCTTGAGCCACACGCACCCGTGCAGCTGTCGTGCGAGGTGACACAAGCAGGGGCTGCAGATGAGACAACAACGACGTGGGGCTGTCAAGGAGTTTGCCAAACGCTCACAGCAAGATGGCATTGGCAAACACACACACACACACATCAAGCATGTACTTGATAGGTTCCTTTTTTTTTTTTCACCTTGTCCAGTGGGGGCACTTGGCCGCTTCTGCCGCCAAAGAAACCAAGCGAATCAACCTTGCGCATGTCCCTGGATCACCAACAATTGTACACGATGAGTCATGAGCGTAGATGGGGGCACGCAATCACACGAGTGCGCTCGCACAGCGGATACAAACAGAGAGAAAGAGAGGGGGACAGAGACAGAGAGAGAGAGAGACAGATAGTGACAGAGACAGAGACAGAGACGGACAGACAGCAGACGCACGCACGCACGCACATACATACAAACACAACAACAACAACGACAACGACGACAACGACGACAACAACGACAACAACGACAACAACGAGCGAGTGTTAGGGGCAACAACATCAACAGTATCCAAGGGCCGCATGTGTGAGCAAGTTACTCACTGGGTGAAGAGCGTACGGAAAGACAGTTCGCGTGCCGTGGGCTGGCCCCGGCTGCTGCGGCGGCTGTCGGCCCTGTCGGCCTGATCGCGCGCGTCACGGAAGGCGACGGCGGTGTCCATATCCTTGAAGACGTACAGCCCGTGCAGCATTCGGTTGAGGAGGCCAAACAGCCGCTCATCGTTCACCTGAAGACGAAACATAAGGAGGAAGGTGAAAGGGAGGGGGTTGTTGGTGAGGGAGTTGCAAGGGTAATTAAACTGTTGCTGCACGTACGATGCACGTCTGGTGCACACACACACACACAGACACACACACACACACAGACACACACATATACAGACAGACACACGCACACGTACCCGCGGGGTGATGTAAGACGAAAGCGCACGCCCGCCGAAGCGCGCAACGGCGCTTGGTGTGTCTTGTCTGAACGGCTGACGGGGAAGACGTTCGATGTCGCGAACGGAGTAACTCCTTTGCAGCTTAAGTGCCGTCTCCCGGCGCACGCAGATGATGGAGTTGATGTGTGACCCGAGCGCATAGCTGGCCAGGCGCTGCGACATTTGATCTTCGGCCTCCAACAGCTCGCCCACAAACCCGAGCACGTCCTGGCCCCGGAAGCGGGCCGGAACCTGCTGGGGCTGTAGCAGCAACGATGGTGGTCATGATGGGAGTGGTGGTGGTGATGATGGGGTGTGCGCAATGTGGGCAAGAAAACAAAAGCGGAGATGAGAGCGGTTACATCAAACCAAAAAGCATCATCAGCGCCAACAATCAGTCTTGGTGCACAGGATTCAGCTTCAGTCTGTCTGTCTGTGTGTCTGTGCGTGTGTCTGTGTGTCTGTGTGTGCGTGCGAGTGTGTGTGACAGCATTGTATCGCTGCCTGAGTGCGCACCTCACGGCCACCGCGTCGACGGGATGACGTCCGCTGCGCAATGAGTTCAGCGCACGCGTCGGGATGGCGCAACAGGTCCTCCGCCCGCAGCTGCTCCCGTCCATGATGGTGTCGATCGCGATCACGATGGTGGTGGTCGGTGATGATCAAGCGGAGTGTTGAGTGAGACAGAGGATGCGTTCGTGGTGTCACATTCGCGCGCGTGCGCATATGTGCATACATGCAGGTGTGTGCTCACCGCTGTGCGACGGCGCGATCGAATGTGGTGGCGCAAAATGTCCTCAATGGTGCTGAAGATCACGCACACATGATGATGAGCACATGTAAGGTGGCAACGATGATAGTGATAAACGGGAGTCGTGGCGGTGCTTGTGGTGGTGGTGTGGACATGAAGAAGGGGGGGGGGTGGCCTCACGCTTTGATCTTGCGGAGCTGCGAAAACTTTTCGAAGGCGGCCTTTGTTGCGCGGAGCTTCTGCTGTTGTTGCTGTGGTAGCAATGGTGGTGGTGATGTGATGGAGGTGGGGATAGTTGGGAACAATGTGAACAAAAACGAGACAATACGCGCACACAGACACAGACACAGACACACAGACACAGACACAGACACAGACACAGACACACATACACACACACAGACACATACACACACACACAGACACACACACACACTCACAGCGATGCAAACAGGCGCGGGGGTGTGAGTGCAGTGTACTCACTGCGAGGCTCCTGTTGAGGTTGTCCATCACCAACTTCTTCTCGTGGCGCTGCTGTGCGGACACCTTGGCGTCCTTTCGCGAGTCGAGCACCTGAATGATGCGTTGCAACGGCTTGACGCCCTCCGGCCCCGCAGCCGTAAACGTGTACTGCCCGGGTGGGAACGCAGTCCGCGCAACCGCGTTCACCTGACACCATCCATGGCGCAGTGACAAAGTTGTTGTGGTTGTGGTTGTGGTTGTGGTTGTGGTTGTGTGTGTGGTTGTGGTTGTGGTTGTGGTTGTGGTTGTGTTTGTGTGTGTGTGTGTGTGTTTGTGTGTGTGTGTGTGTGTGTGTGTGTGCGTGCGTGCGTGTGTGGCGAAGAAGGAAGACGAGTGAGCGAACTCTCAGGGTTACCGTGTGTGAAGTTGACACACACACACACATGGAGTGGTGAAGTAGAGTTGGTCGAACCTGTGTGGAGTTGCTGAATGGGGTTGTGGTCGGCTGCAACTCAAGCTCGCCCTCTCCGTTCTCCTGCTGGAGGGACAGGCGACACGGCATGTCCGCCTCAGCGGGAACAGTGTTGCCGTACTGATCCTGCACACGCATTCACCAAGACGGGTTGCGGTATTAACATGCGGGTAAGGGTAATGTGCCGGGGGAGAGAGAGAGGGAGAGAGAGAGAGAGGGAGAGAGAGAGAGAGAGAGAGAGAGAGAGAGAGAGAGAGAGAGAGAGAGAGAGAGAGAGAGAGAGAGTGTGTGTGTGTGTGTGTGTGTGTGTGTGTGTGTGTGTGTGTGTATGTGTGTGTATGTGTGTGTGTACGTGTATCTATTTGAAACAGGAAGAAAAAACACGTGGTGTCTTGAGACTAGCGGATTGCAAGCGTAGATGCGACAACACTGCGTCCGTGCATATGGCAGTGCCCTCAATATCTATTGACTTGCCTTGAGGAGAAACGTGACAGATGGAAAGAGCCTTCCAGGGCTGCCATTGGGCGCCAACGCAATCACTGCACATGCACACACGATGACGTGATGTGAGTGCACACAACTCGGCTTGTGTGTGTGTGTGTGTGTGTGTGTGTGTGTGTGTGTGTGTGTGTGTGTGTGTGTGTGTGTGTGTGTGTGTGTGTGTGTGTGCTGACCTGACGCGGGCTCGACGCCCTCGGCAGCAGCAACGGCAACCGGCCTGTCAAGATGACGGCACAACGAGAAACGGTGAGTTGAGGTGACGGTCGAGCAAGAACGATGATATGATTCGCACACTTAAGGAACACAAGCGACAGCACCAGGTGAGCAGTCGTGTGTTCGAATGTGGGTATGTTGTGGGCGTGTGTGCGTGGCGATGGCACAATGGCTTACGCTGAAGGGTGAACGGCAACCACGGTCTTTGCAGTCAAGCGTTTCTTGCCGGCTGATCGGTGGGCAGTCAGAAGGGCGGGGGAAGGGGGCAAGGGAGTGAGACAATAAGCGAACGCACGTGAGGGAGGGTTTTACAATCATTCATGAAACTAAAGCGCAGCACCAAAGTCGCACGTGCACACGTGCACACTCACGCCCCGCACATACACAAGCGCGTGAACATGCACAACGGCAGGTAATCAGCACAACAGGCCATGAGGATGGCAGACCTCTAAGTTGCAGCTTGATGGCGACACGGCCTGTTGTTGTTAGCGGATCGGGCGCTTGCACAATCAAGTTTATGTTGTCCTCAGAGGGAGAGCACGCCAGCAGCACACTGCGCGTCGAATTCATGTGCGCTTGCAACCCCTGCAGATATGCAAGCGCCCGAGCGTGGGTAGGTGTGTGTGCGTGCATGTGGGTGCATGTGTGTGTATGTGTGTGAGGGTGTGATGATGACAAGGATCGGGCATCCTGCATCTACCAACAATGTCACATTGCACACCCCGCAACCACTGCAATTGCCGCCACCTTGGCGGCGAGGGAAAACCCAAGCTGCTCCAAGACAGACGGCATCACAACGTCCCCTGCATCGGCACAACGCAAACAGCTGTGATGAGAGACAACGAATGCAAGGGAGACACGAGGTGGACGCAGGTAGGGTGGCAGCGCAGGCAGGGGAGATGTTCCGCGTCGCGCATTGGTGTTAATCGCGTCGGTTTCGCGTGGTCGTGTTGGTGGTTGACACGTTGGATTTGGGTCCAGCAATATATACGTATGGGTCGGTTTGCCACTCACCGCCCTTGCTGACGACTTGCACGGGGAACGAGAACGCCTCGCCAGCCGTGATTGCCGGCAGCTCCTGCGCGCGTGCGACAGCAGAGACAACGCAGGGGAATGTGAGTACAGTGACGTGGTAGTTGTGGTCGAGGTGGTGCGACGGCGGCAAAGGAACGATGGGCGCGTGCAACACAGATGTGGCATGAGCAGAATTGATGGCACACACGCACACACACACACACACACACACATGCGTCGATCGGGTGTGACTCACGTCATTTTCAGCGGTGGGGAACTGGCAGGTTGTGGCAGCGATGGAAGGAAACAGCAGTGATTACAGGGAATGGCGCATGCAAATCGTGAGAAAGCACTCACGTTACCATGCAAGACCGCACAATGCCAACGAACGCAAACACATGCAAGAGCGTACAGTGCCAACGAATGCAAACATGCGCAAGCGCACACACACACACATACATCATACCTTGATCTTGGCTGGTGTGCTCATGTCTTCGGTCATGCGGACGCGCAGCGCGCCGCCAAGTTTGAATTTTGTCTTCGAACCCCCAGCAACGGGCGCCGACGTCTGGTTGATCACACAACGGGTGCAACGGTGAGATGAGTTGGTGGGAAGGAACAGTGGTGGACGATTACGTGAGAGGAGAGAGGTATGTATGTGTGTGTATGTGTGTGTGCGTGTGCCTGTGTGTCTGTGTGTGTGCGTGTGTGTGTGCGTGTGTCTGTGTGTCTGTGTGTGCGTGTGTGTGTGCGTGCGTCTGTGTGTCTGTGTGTGTGTCTGTGTGTCTGCGTGTCTGTCTGTGTTTGGTTGCGCTTTCTTCATGACACTATCTGTCAACGCGATGGATTGCAAGGGACAGCACACCACACACGCCAGCACAGCACAGCACGACTCGGCACCTTGAGGTGGAAGATGATGTTGGTTGTGCCTGGTTTGCCGGAGAGGGAAACATGCTTGAACGTTGCCTCGGCATCGTGCAGTTGCGTCTGGAGCGCTGATGGCTCGGCCGTCAGCTGTAACGTAACGCAGAAGCCACATCATCGTGTGTGAGCGACATGCATGCAAGGGCCGGGCGCATGTGTGCGTGTGCGTGTGTGCGTGTGTGTGTGTGCGTGTGTGTATTGTGAAGATAGAGCGAAGCTGGTGGGACGCATAATGTGTTTGGATGCGTGTGCGAGATTGTGCGCTTGCTTGGCGCATGCTCACGTTGATGTCCTTCTTGGAAGTTGTGATGGCAACGACACCGCTAGTCAGGTCTGCAAAGACGCAAAAATGCAGATGCAGGCACAACCCAAACACACAGAGGGAAGCGGTGAGAAAGCAAGGCAACATGCACCCACAGTAAAACCAAACCTGCAACAACCAAACCTGCAACAAACACACTCCCACCCCCAGACAATAAGACCCACGCATGCGCGGCCGCATTCACACCGCTTTTTTTCTCGCCTCGTCTTGCGCTTCTCCCCATCACCACCTCAACATGACAGCACGTACATGTGCAGTGGTGGCCGTCGGCATCAACAACCCTGACGCGAATTTCGCTGAAGAGCTCCGCATTGGCTTCAACGGTCAACTCGCTCCCGGGGTCAACCGCACTCTCGTCTCCCTAATAACCACGCACACGCGAGCACACATCGTCGAGGTACAGCGCTGATGCTCGCACACACACACATGCAACCGGACTTGCAACCGGACTTGTTCAGCTGCACGCACACACACACACACGCACACACCCACACACACACACACACACACACACGCACACACGCACGCACATACAAATGCAGGAACAGACACCACACCTGTTCGAAGACAGCGACTGCGTGTGGAATGCCCGGTAGAACCTGGAGGGCGTGCTTGGTGTGCAGATTCGCTGCCGTGTTGTGCACGTCAAGCTGAAACACGCGCAAGTGAACAGATGAGGTGAGACAAAGCTGGTCATGGTGGTTGCACTTGAGCTGTACAGGCAGGATGGCACATCAACAATGGAGCGAGCCTGTGCGCAGAGCGCAGAGCGCAGAGCGCAGGTGTTTGTGTGTGTGTGTGTGTGTGTGTGTGTGTGTGTGTGTGTGTGTGTGTGTGTGTGTGTGTGTGTGTGTGTGTGTGTGCACCTGCGTCTGCCCCGGGCTGCTATTGACGCTGAAGCCATACAGGGCGACTTCTCCCGTCTTGAGCACCTCCTGTCATATCCAAGAATGAACGGCAAGGAGGGCATGCATGCGTCACGCCAAGGCGGCAAAACACATGTAGAGAGCGAGAGCGTGACAGAGTGAGAGCGTGAGACAGGGAGGACACCGGGTGACATGTGACATAGACACACACACACGCACGTGTGTTGTACAAACGGAGAGCCCGACTCATCAGCAAGCAGACCAAAGCAGCATTCGAGCACGGCAGCAGGCCAGACCTTCTTCATGGTCGTGTTGTTGATGTCACCAGTGAGGTCAATATCCTCGGCTTTGAGGGGCACCGTGTTCTCGTCCTCGTCCAGACCGCGAACAACAAGCGGATTCGCTTTGCTCACCGTCATGCGTCGGTGCACCTCGCCCAGCTGCCCATGCACCTGATATAAGGAGGAGGGACGAGAAGGAAGAGTTAGCGTAGTGGTGGCAGTGTGTGTGTGTGTGTGTGTGTGTGTGTGTGTGTGTGTTGGAAGCAGCAGCAGCAGGTTGTTTGTGACAACATGTCACACTAAGTCCTGCACGCTACTAGCACGCCACCGCCGCCAAACTATCATACCTGCAGCTGTGCGAGTGCGCCGGGCTCTGCCACGATTTGCACGTGTGCGGACACGCGCGTGTCACCGAGGCGGAATGTGAACGAGTGGACGTGTTGTCCGGGGGCGCGCGACGGCCCAGACAGCGCCGGCAACTTCCCGTGCTGTGGCAATGGCAACGCAAGGAAAGGAGGGTGTGTGTGTGTGTGTGTGCGTGTGTGTGTGTGTGTACATGTGTGTGTGAGCGTGTGTGTGATTGTTTTCAGCAGGAAGACTTGATCATCAAAGATATGTAGAGGAAACCACACACACACATACACAAGCACACACATACACACACAACACACACACACACGCAACAGCATCGACAGTGGGCACTGCAGCATACCTGCTTGACAAATTTGGTGACGTTCTTGTGGCCCTGCTCCGCTTTGAAGTGCGGCACTTTCCCAAGATCCACCTCGTCGCCGCTCTGATGATGATGATGGCGGGTGGTGGTGATGATATAATGATGAGGTGAACAAAAGCGGTATCGACGGGACAGCCCGTGAATGTAACGACACACGAGGGACGACCCTAGGTTCCTTCCTCGGCACACACACACACGCACACACACAGATACACACGCACACACACAGATACACACACGCGCACGCACCAGCACATGTGCGCTGCCGAAATGTTGGGACTGACCTCTGTGAGGACGGTGACTGCGATGTCATCAAAGGTTTCGTTGGAGCGGCCGACGAGCTCAAGCAGCTCCTCTTTGGACACTGCACGCCGTCGAGGGACGCAGACGGGGGGGGGGAAGGTGGTGAGGGGAGCAAGTGGCGCGAATGACACGAACGAATGACGTCAAGTCCGCACACACATATGCACACACACATGCACACATACGCACGTGCACACAAACGCACGTGCTCACACATGCACATACACACAAAAGCGTCACGCATGTACACCTGCATGGGGGCGCACCTTCGAGGCTGTCGCTTGAGAAGTCGACAGCGAGACCGCGCAGAGCAAGACGGACGATGCACGGGTCGGGACCAGGCAGGATGGTGGCGTGCAACCCGCACTTCCGGCCCTGCATGCACATGGCGATGGTGTTTTTGAGAGAGAAAGGGGGGGGGGGGTGGAGGGATGATGTTTCAACGAGAGCAAAGGCGTGAATGTGAATGACGATGAGGGTTGTGGCACAAGCATGCATGTGGCATGTGAACCATGGACGGAGATAGTTCTGATACGCACACACACACACACACACACGCACACACACAGCCGCTAGTAGTGTGTTGTGAGCGTACATCAACAATCTTTGCCGCATCTGCGCGGGTCTTGACGGAGGATGTGGGCGATGTCTTCCTCAGCTTCTCGGCATCAAGCAGCGCAATGGCAATCTTCATCGTCTTCGGGGCCCGCACCACGGGGTGGAACGTGATGGCCGGTGTGTCCACCAACTCGCCACTCTGTTGTCAACACAAAACCGCACACGCACACATACACGCACGCAAGTAGGCACATGTGAACACACGCATGTTGCCACGCATGTACACATGATGAGCACAGACATGCAGTGCCACAAGCAATGTGGGATGGAGTGAACACAAGGCGCCTCATGAAGTGCAGAAACGCACGCATACATGCGTTGTGTGCATGTGTGTGTGTGTGTGTGTGTGTGTGTGTGTGTGTGGCTCACCGAGTTTGCGTAGATGATGTGCATGGGATCAGGAATGTCTTTCGATTGAATCGCGAACAGCAGCGGCTGCAGCTGTAGACTCAACACAAGTCAACACGCACAAAACCGCACGCACGCACACGTACGCACAGACGCCATCAAAAGGACAACCCATGTGAGCGGGCAACCAAGAAGCGTTGGCACATCGTCCCTCATTGAGGCGGTTGCCAGCTGCTTCACAACCAACACCAGCAAACCACGAATCACACAACTCAACCAAAACACACCAAACCACCAATCACCACCAAACCACCAATCGCACCTCCTTCCTCTTGAAGCGGCACAAGTTTCCGTATTTATCCGTTATCTTCAAGCGGAGCGGCGGCAGCGGCTGCAGCAGCCGTCATCAGAAGCAGTGATGACGTGGGATTGCATGGTGTCGAGGCATGGGAGGGTGCAAGGCTCGTGGCGTGAGTGTGCACACATGTGCATGCATTACTTCTCCATGTCAAGCGCACATCGCACATCGCACATCGCACATCGCACATCGCCCGTGCTCAAGCGCGAACGACATGTGTGCACGCCTGCCTGCAGTGCAAACTGATTTACCTGTTTGTTGTAGAAGGTTGGGCTCTCCCCCTCACACAGCTCAACGCACCGCTGATGATCGCATAGGTATGCAGAACGTGAAAAGTGTGCGTGAGCAACAGCGCAAACACCGACAGGAAGGTGTATGCGCAGAAACCAAAAAAGGCGCAACAGAAAATCTCTACACACACACACATACACACATCACATACACGCACAGCACATACATACACAAATGCACACAAAACACATGCACACACATCACATACATACATACACACATGAACACAAAGCACACACACACACACACACCGGTCTGCCTGGGTAGAGGGTTGCCTTTGTGGTCTTCTCCTTGTTGAGGTGCGTGAAGAGGAGCTTGATGACAGCGCGTGTGCCCTGCTGGTCCACCTTGCCCTGCACCCCAACCTCGAGCGTGATGTAACTGCGGTCCTCAGGCACGCTGTAGGTGAGGGTGCGGACGTTGTCGCCAAAGGCCTCGGGGATGTACCTGTCGAGCTGCGAGTCGTCTGGCAGCAGGCACATGTTGTTGTTCTTGTCCATGTACGTGCAGCGGATTTCAATGCAGTCTGACAGGGAGACCTTTGGCGTCAGCACGTCCACCTTCACATTGGCCACTTCCCCAGCAGCGAACACAAGCGTCTGCTGGTACATCTCCTTCACCAGGCTGCATCGTGGTGGCGTGGTGTGGTGTGGTGTGGTGGTGAGAGTGGTTGTGACACGAATGGTGAAGACAGCTGAGGCAGGAACGAGGGGCGGTTGGTGTGGCGAACAAGGAAGAGGGCTGGGTGTATGAAGAGAGCAATGCAGAGAGAGGGGAGGGGTTGGACACGAACCTGCTCTCACACGCAACGAGCAATTCACACGGCGCCTGCATTCATACGTACGCCGCGGGGACAGATGCATGCATGCAAAATGACAGCAGGTGAGCCGCAATCCAAAGTTGACACAGCGCACAAACACACACACACACACACACACACACACACACACACACACACACACACACACACACACACACACACACACACACACACACAGCGGTTTACTCAAGGCGAAAGGCGTGACGTACGGTGACGTGGGTGTAGAACCAAAACCCGCGCTCGCTCTTGGCGCGCTCGCTGTTTCGATCGCCTTTGGTTGTGTAGCTTGGCACCACCATGTCTTGCTGTGTGTGGCGGCGAGGGAAACAAGGTGGGTTGGATGGGATGAGACATCGGGAGGACAAAAGTACAAGGTAACGCAAAATGACAGCACAAACACGCCCGCACACACATGCGCACACGCCCGCAACACGAGCACACATCTGCACACAACCGTTCAGAATCCACCCCCTCCCCTTCGCCTTCCTCTCCCCTTCTCAGTGACTGACCGTTGGGGTGTACTGGCTCTCCCCAAGCAGCTTGACTTCCTGCTGCGCACGAATCTCCTGTCCGTCGTACACCTTCTTCTCCGTCAGAACATCCCCGCTCGCAGACTCAAACAGCGCCTGGATGTCAACCTTGCCGCCCCCTGCGCATTTGAGGATGTGCGTTGTGTGAGGATGTATGTGCATGTGTGTGTGAATGTGAATATGTGTGTGTGTGTGAAACGTATGTGCTTGTGCTTGTGTGTGTGTTTGTGTGTTTGTGTGTGTTCATGAATGAAGACAGGAGACGCAGACAACACACGGGCTCGTGGCTTGTTGCGCTCTGCGACAACGCCCTGTGCGCATGCTTGCGCGTGTCGGTAACAACGCACGTGTGAGGTCGGTGAGCGGGATTGGCTCATCGGGCGAAAACTCCTTCCCGTCCGAGTAGAACCGGCACACAATCTGCAAACGCAAAACCAAAGTGTGTGTGTGTGTGTGTGTGTGTGTGTGTGTGTGTGTGTGTGTGTGTGTGTGTGTGTGTGTATGTGTGTGTGTATGTGTGTGTGTGTGTGTGTGTGTATGCGTGT